AGACCCAACATCAAAATCAGTGCCAAGTAAGTGAAAGGGCATCGTAACTCTCCATAAGCGTATAATGTTTTTCTGGATGAAAGTGAGAATTCGTTTCAACAACTTTCATTTTTATCTAGAAATTCAGGTAGGGTTTACTATACCCTTTCCATTCACGATCGTCGATGTGAACGAGGCACCGACCGCCGTTGTGCAGATTGCGTAATGATTAATGAGTTATAAGCGGCCACATTGATTATGGTTTTAGATAAGCAAATCATGCGTTCCCAAACTCGAATATCAGTAGTGGATGTTCATAGAACTTCGGATATGAAAACTCATCGAGTATGAATGGAACCTTACAATGTACGATGATTTTGTAAACAATTTCCTGTTCCGGCTCGGATACAGCGCAAACATAATCACTCATATCCATTGGCTCAACATCCAGAATGGTAAGTGTGGAATTCTGAAATTGCTTCCAATTTGCGCATCTTATGCACCATTTCGGGTCGCATTATTGCCAAAACTGTCACTCACCGATCCGTCTTTGATGACCTGCATGCGTTCATCCTCAGCCAGGTTTTCCTCATCGATAAATAAGGCGTTCTCCTTTCTTCGCCAAATTATCGACTCTGATCCTAGATCCTGCACATAGCATGGAAGCTCGAGTTGAGATCCTTCATTCACCTGCAATCAACAATATAAATCTTAAACGCTTTTCTTTTCTGAAAACCTTCCAATACCGTAATTGTTCTTCCTTTTGTGACGATTTTTTGACCCCATGCTAAATGCATGAGGCTAATCGTAGCTAACAACCACCTCATCCTGAAAAGAAGCTCATATTTCTCCAAATTTATAAGGAAAAGCTAAAGCGAAGATCAATAACGAAATGGCAAAGTGCGTGGGTGCGATGTTGTCGGTGAGGATCTCCAGAATTGCCGGCGGTAATCCTCCTGTTTGACGCATTGGCTAAAGGGGCGCGTTGCAGGTCAATAAACAATAAGAATACAAGAAAATAAACAAAAATTTTATAGAATGAGGACAGCTTGGTTCTCTTCGATCATATCGATGCCATTGCTTCTTCGCTCGTAAAGAAATGCAACTTTCGCTATGGCCGCTTTTTATAATCCAGAAAAAAACTCAGAAAAACTGCAACTGCGATAAGAGTGATGACCCCTGAGGGTGCTCAGGATGACTGTGTTGTAGTGTAGTGTGAAATCACGGCAGCGCTTGTATTC